GATCAAAACACAAAATAAAGCAGGCTCCTTCTTCCTATCAGCTCTGCAAACATTTGTTTTGTGTTTAAAATTAAAGGAAGAAGAAGAAGAAATTGTGTGATTCTTCTCGTACATAAGGCCGAGTGTGTGCAGAATTAAACATGAGGAAGTTACATTCTGACCGACTTCTCTTTTTGTGACCAGCTACGCTCATAAAGGCCTTCTCATAAAACACACACACACTCAACAGGCGACAAATAAACAAATAAATCAAGTTCCAGATTTGATTGGTACGTCCCTGAGCTGATACTGAATCTCGTATTCAGGCTGATCCTGATGCTGGGCCAAAGGTCTGCTCATAAAGATTTGAATAATTCAAACACTGCAGTGTTTTTCCCACACTGACCACAGCTGCAGCTCCCTCAGGACGTGTGAGCCTCACTGGTTTTAACAAACATTCATTCATGCTTGGAGCTGTCAGACACTCAGTTGTAAAATCATCTTTGGTTTTAAGATAATGTGTTCTCTGGAAAAACTCGTGTAGACACAATAAAACATTCTATAGAGTCCCACAGATACCAGAAGCGGTCCTGTCTCCAGCTGATGCGGTCGGCCTTGACTGTCCTGCATCAGAGACGAGCTGGATTTCACCAGAACTACGTGTTTGTTATAGACCCTTTTACTGTTTGTAAACAGTATGACGTCAGTGAGAATGCGCGTGCATCTTGGCAACAAAGAATGGCGTTGTTTCAGACTTTATCAAGCTACGCTGCAGGGCTGATACTGCTCCCATCAGGTGTGTGTGTGTGTGTGTGTGTGTGTGTGTGTGTGTGTGTGTGTGTGTGTGTGTGTGTGTGTGTGTGTGTGTGTGTGTGTGTGAATCCGTTCTGAGCAGAAACGAGGCTGCTGTAGAAACTGTGACTTGTTAGCTTCTTCAGCTCAGACTGACACCTAGCTAGCTTCCACTGTTTTTGTAAATAATAAACATTTTTTCACTATTGTTGTTTCACTATTACTTCATCCATCTTTAGTAAATGACTCTAGCTTTGAGACAATCAACAGAAGTGGTTGTTTGATGATGAATTTAAATAATTTGTAAAGGAAAAGGGCGTTAGCTACATGCTAGCACACGCTGCTAGCGCTGATGATTCCTTCACTTTACATGTTAAATCTAATCTAATACCGTTTAGATCTGGTGCTTTGTAAACAAAAACACTTTTCAGCTACTGAACAAACACAAATAAATGAACTCTTCCAGCTGCAGACTGGTGCATATTTATAGCTTCAGAGGGTATTTTTGCTAACAGGATGTGGACGTAGTCAAAGATAAACAACTTCCATAAAGGAGCCTAATTCTGTAGTTTTACAGAGATAACTGTTGTGTTTTTGTTAAATTTACTCAATGATTGATGACATAAAAGCCACTATTGAGGCCATGAGAACCAGTGTTTAGATTTGTGGATCCCCTAAGGCTGTTTGGCAGAACTCAGCCGTGTTGTTTTAGCTCGCTCAGTGTGTCCTGGCGCTAACCTCATGATGTCTCACCAGTGTAATCTGAATCAACCTCACCAACAGGAAACAGAGACTAACTACAACGTGAGATTAGGTGGATTACTGTAGTTTGGTCCTAAACTCCTCCTTGGATTAACCATTTCATGCATCTATCTTGCACCATTTAGCATGACTCATTAGCGCTAATGCTGATAATATCCTGTTCACATTTCAAACGGTGTTGTGCAACGGCACTTTTGAGCAACAGCATTTGAGCAAGCCTCACGCCCCACTCTTCATGTGATGCAGCGTCCTAGAGGGTTTAATGAAAAGCTACGAGATGCAGAGCTGGAGGTCATCGTAGATGTTTTACATTAACCTGCAGGGCTCAAAACAAAGAGCTGTAAAATGTTCCTGATGTGTGCAATAATAAAGCTGCTCCAGGACACGAACAGAGAGGCTCTGTTAGACAGAAACACATACAGGCCAGTGTGCTCCACCCAGATAACACAAACTGGCAACGCTACTGAGAAACGGCTCGTTCCTGGTTTAATGTGTGAGCTGCAGCAGGGGGCGGAGCCTGTAGTTTCCTTTAACTACAGCTGGAGAGGTGCAGCTCCAACCAGGACGGAACAAACAGCTGCAGGCGTTCTTCCAAATCTAAATCATCAATCAGTGCTTGTGTAACACAAACACTGGGATGGAAATGATTCCCGGGGCACCTCACCTGCACCAACAGAGCAGGAATAAAAGGAAGACGGTACGGATCGTCTGAATTATTAAACTGTCATGCAGGATCAGACTCATCCATCCCACAACCTAGCCATCAGTTTGTTCATGCACCCATCCATCCATCTATGTACCCATTCATTTATTCACGAATGTATCATCCACCCACCCACCCATCCATCTATCCATCCATTAATCTATCCATTCATTTATCCATCCATCCACCCACCCATCCATATATCCATTCATTTATCCATCCACCCACCCATTCATGTATCATCCATCCATTCATCCATCAATCCATCCACCCCTCTATTAATTTATACCATCATCCATCCATCCATCTGTCCATCCATTCATGTATCTTCCACCCATCTATCCATCCATTCATTTATTCATTCATTCAATCATCCATCCGTCGACCCTGACACCAGATCACGTTACTCCAAGCTTTCCTGATCAGCCAATAGGAAGGCAGCATCTTCTGAAGCATACAAAGTGGATAAAAGATCCAAGAGTAACTCAAACATAAAAACGAACCTGACGCCTTCTGCCGTTACATATTCTGTTCCTCTAACCCAGCTAGCTCTAGCCTAACCCAACACTTGCCAGCTCTGAGGGAAACCACGCCCCTCCGTAGGTGGACATCAGAGTTTGATGAGATTTGGGTTTTTTGGAGAGATTCCAGGCTATGGTTTGACCATCTGCTCCACACGGCGCCGTGGCGCTGTGTGTCTGCGGCCCATCAGGGCTTGTTGTCACCAGCGGGCTGTCATTAGGTATCTTTCTCTTGGGATCAGCTGGTAATTAACACTCATGATCAACATTGTTCTCACCAGGGACCTGGCCTCCAGGAGCCTGTCTGGTCATTATTCCATCAAACACAGCAGATGTTTGTTTGTTGTTTACTAGTACATGTCTTAGTCAGCCATAAAGCTTTCACACTCAGGATGGAACCAGAAAATTGTTTGGATTTGAATATTTTAATGATTTTTGGCCTGAAGCAGCTTTTCTTTCTCAGCTTTGTGAAAAATAACAAAAGGTGACATTTCTTATGTGTTTGTAGACAACATGGCTACTACTAGCAAAGACACAGAGTCACGGCGTTAGCAGGAAGTTCCTGTTGGCCATCTCATCACAACGAAACCAGAAGCTGAAGCAGCATCTTCAGGGAGGAGGAGGAGGAGAGGAGGCCCTGCTGGGGGGAGGAGGTCCCTCAGAGCTCCAGACGTCCAACTCAGTCTGTTTGTCGCCCTCGAGTCGATGCGACACACGATGATGAGCTGTTGTCTCTGCTGCTGCATCGATTCCTGAGCCATGCTCTTCCTAATTCAGTCGGCATCAACCCGTGATCCCCCTGGAGCCGGAATAACAAAGATCCTTCAGGATAATCAACCCAGCTCAGGCCTGCTCTCTGGTCTCCACCCCGCTTTAGTGCAGCCGGGTGGTGAAATCAGCCTCCAGCTGTGATGTCATCAGTATTTGTGCAACAGCAACTGTGTGACAACCTGCCACTCAGAGCCAGACGTGGCCCGTGTTGGACTTTCATGTCAGACTTTTGTTCAGACTATTTAAAACTCCTCCTGACTGGCGGACGCAGAAGGGAAGTCATCTCCAAACACGTTGCTCAAAAAAGCACCATGTGACTGGATCAATTTGGACAGAAGTGACTTGTGCACCCACGAGTTATCTTTAGAACCAAAATGGAAACATGTCCTCGTCTCATCGTTGGCTGGAGCGAGGCGGCGTAGAGCCCAGACGTGTGTGATCATTATGATTGCCACTCGTGGTTTCTATGGTTACGCAAACTAGGTTTCAGGAATGTTGTTTGCTGCAGATATTAAAAAACGCTGAGACTGTCAGTTCACAAAACATGATGGGGGGGGCAACACTCCTACAGGAGCCTGGTGTGGTCAGACTGACTGGTAGCCATTAAAGCAGCCATCTCCTTCTGGTAGTTGGGTTTACAAACCGAATAAAAGTGAAAAACGTGATTTCCGTCAGCAGGAATTTACTAGAAAGTCGTGGCTGACCAGCCCCAGCTGCAGCAGTGAAACCATCTGCTCCACTGGGATGAGCTGTCCAAAAGCAAATGCCTTCAGAGACACAATGCTGCATGAGCCAGATGGTCAGTTTGGTCTAAAAATAGTAAACAGCAGAATGAGCTGCGTTCATAATCCAAGTGTTAAACACACCAGCAGGATGAGGATCTCTGCCGCACAGGCCTAGGCAGTGACTCAGCAGCAGCTGTTGCCATGGGTTACCAGCCACGACATCTTATAAGAGGGGGAGGCTAACATATCTGAGCCCCCCCCCCCCCCCCCCCCCAAATCAGCTGCTTTACACTCCACTTTCTCTGGGTGAATAGCCAGTAATCCTCATCAGGACCTGGACTAACTCACTCCCCCATGCAGATTAATGCCTCATTAGGAGCAGCTGATTCAACTCTAATCCACTTACATTTAACAGGCTGGCGCCGTGAAGCAGGCCCGTTAGGCTGAAACAAGATGTTTGAGTTGCTGCAGCGATGAGTCACACCCAACACGGCTGCCCCCGGACCACCTCCCTTAAACAGAACCAGTCAGGAAACCGTTGACTGCGAGGTAGCCGAGCAGGTCTGGGTCAGTTCAGGTCACAGCATCCCAGAATGCATTGCTCATAACAGATGAAGATCCTTTTGTTCCTTAAAGTCCATAAAAGCCTTCCTCTGGGAGCAGACTTCCTGGAGAACACCAACCCATAGATAACCAGTCAAGAGTCGCATTTCTACGAGACCAGCTGAATTAAACCAATAAGACTCGTTTTATTAACAAATTCTTTTTTATTACAACATTTCACGGCTTTCCATATCTGTGATGGTTTGTGGCAGAGTAACACGACTGCTGGGAATTTACAAAAACTCCACAAAGTAGTTTGATTAACAGTTCAAAGCAAAAACACAGAACCAATTACTGCAGAGCGTTTCACCCACTTCACCAACTAAAGGCCGAAACGAGTCACATTTGACCCGAAACCAGGTCCGTTTGAACTTCTCCCACATCTAGATGGAAACCGTTACTCCTCGTGAACAAACAAAAGACTTTGTGATAAACAGTATCGATTTTCGGGCATTTACATTTTGGCCAGCGAACGAACGAAAAGTTGTGCATTACCGAAATTTAAAAAAGACTCATAAGCTTGTCGCCTCAGCGTTGGTGCACATGAGAAGCAGCTGCAGGGCGTTGGGTGGTGGAGGTGGGACGATGGTGGCCAGGAGCCACGCCCCTCGACCTACACCTCAGAGCTGGTTGTCAAGGTGTGCTTGACATGTGCCCTTAATGCTGTTGGCATTCACCCCCTCCTCCCCTCAGCCGACCAATGACGACCAGAAGAGGGGGCTCGGTGGGGCGGGCCAACTGCCCCGGAGTAGGAGCTATCCATCCAAATGTGCAGCTCGGTTATATTCATCAATTCAGAATTTCGGTTACAAAGTTATACGGCTAAAAGAAGTGACGGAAAACAAGGCAATGCAGGAGGAGGGGGTACAGTGCATGATGGGAGAGACTTCATGATGACGCCTTCTCCTGTTCGATGGCTGTGGAAGACAAGGACAACTCATTAAAACCCTCCAATAAAAACCAGCTGCTGTGACGTCATCAGGCCAGGACTCACTCTCTTTCGTAGGCAGGGGGTTCTTCTCCTGCGTCTCAGTCTTCTTCAGCTTGGACTTGTCGAAGCTGGTCACCTCTGAGATGTCGGGCTTGTCGCTCATTGTTACGGCTGGTCTGAAATCACAGAAACTCTGATTAAAGCCAAGCTGCATGAGGAAATCTCTTAAACGCGGGTGACGTTTATAAACACGAGCGGCGTTAAAGCAGCACTAGACAGGAGTCTCACAGGAAGGGCGTGGCCTTAACAACCCGACCATCATTTGTTCGGCCGGAAACACGCAACCGCACTCCTGATGTCCGCCTCCTTTTGTTCGCCTGCGGCCCGCTCCCCTGGCATCCACCCGTAAACATGCACGCGCTCTGGTGATGGAGCACTCACAATGACAGCGAGGGCCGAGATTTACTGAATAAGAGTTCCCATGCGAGGCTCATGGAGCCAAATGTAAAAAGTTTTACGTTAGAAATCCCACCAAATCAGATGTTTTTCATGTAAATCTGCGCTGCTGTGCTGCGTCCACGTGCCCTCGGCAGCTGGAACGTCCACTGTCACGTACTTGAGGCTCCGGGGCGCAGTCTGGAGGAACCAACACCCAGATTCACGCTCAGCTCACAGAAAGCATCTAAAAGCCTCCAGCCGCCCGCTTTCTCCCGGATTCTGCACCGAAACACCCAGCAGCGCCAGTAAAACCAGTCCAGACCAAAGAAAAGCGGCTAAAGCAGCGTTTGATTAACGGGGCTGGGCGCGTGCAGCTCACACGCACTACAAAACAAAGGAGCCGCGGAGACAAAGAGCTGAAACACCTTCGCTTTTCAGACACAAATCACCTCCTTAATTAGCTTTAGAAGGCTAATAGCGACAGATTTAGACTAAATACGAGCAGCAGGGACTTTTACTGAAAAACCAAACAAAAACCAGCAGCTTTATCCTTGTTTCCCGTAGAATCTGCACCACATTCCAGCGTTAATCCCGGAGTTCGCCTCCTGAAACAGAAAAAGGCTGAAACGGGACGGAAGCGCTTACCGAACAGTTACTGACGAAAGAAAGTCTGGAGAGACGTTTGCAGCAATAAAGCTGCAGCTTTGCGCAAGCTCCTCATATAGGCGGAAATATGCTAATTACGTGTGACATCATCGCTGCTGCCCAACATCCGGGTCACTCCGCCCCCTGCTGGACAGGCTGATAAACTGCACCCAACAGGCGGAAACTTTGATGATTTACGAACTTTTTCTGTTTTTATGAAGCTCGTATTTTACATGACGTGACTAATACGCTTTAAAATAACCTTTTACCACGTGTCTACTCCCAAACCCCGGATGTCTGGCTGTTTTAACGCTATTGTGGTCGCGTGTGAACGCTCATGAGCAGCTCGAGTCTTGAGCGCCGCCTGGTGGCGGTTAAACAATTTACTGGTTAATAACACCAGAAACCTGCTCGGATGTTAGAAATAAACCATTATGAACGATGAAAGGGCTAAATGTGCAGATAAACACACAAAATAAATATTTCCCATGTATATTTATATATGCTCATATCCTAAACACTTCATCACCTGCCACCTGTGATCAATCAGAGTGACTGTTTTGATTTAAAGCCAGCTGGAGTCATTCTCCCTTAACTTAGAGACAAATTGTCTCAGTAAGGTTTAATATAACCAGTTTTTCCACAGAGAAGAAAACATGCTGTTAGTTTGCTGTCCAATCACAAACAAATGTTTTGTGCAGAAAATCAAGTAGTGATAAAAAAAGAAGATATAAATTAAAGTCCCATGAGTCATCATCACACACTGGTGAGATTACACCGTACGTGACCCATCCCTCTGGGGAGCGGTGAGCTGCAACTGCGCTCAGGAACACGGGAATATAAATCAGGTGTGCACCTTCACACACAGAACAATGTGATTTCATCAAACCAACCTCTGACCTCTCTCCCCGAGATCAGTGGACTCGGTGGTCTCCTTTAAAAAGCAGATGAAGACTCACCTGTTCAGGCTTTGGTGGGACTTTCATCACCACCCTCTCAATCCACCTTTCCCGGGATCCACTGAGTCCTATTCATTTTCTCTCCTTTTCCTTACATTTTTAATCCGTTTGTTTTCACTTGAAACATAATTTATATTTAAATGTTTTGCTTTTGTGAAGCGCCTCGTGATTTTGATCCTGAGACTCTACATAAAAGGATCAGAAACAGTTTAATGTGCTTTGGTGAGGATATGTTGAGCTTGTTTCTAGTATTTAGTGAACATGCTGGTTTTTTCTCACCTGTTGCGTCTCTTTTTGAAGTAGGTGTCATCTTCTCATCGGAGCACTGAAAGCTCACCCAGACACCCAAAGACCTCATTAATAGTTTGGCTCAAAACCAGATTAAACCTGTAAGCGATCATCTGTTTAACCGTTACGTCTTCGGTCTGACTCTAATTTACTTTTCTGGGGGCACCAGGGTGACTAACTCACCATCAGCAGCTATTTAAAGCAAACCTAATGGTGGCTAACCCAGTGACCCTAATGGGCCACCGGCAGCAGTTTTAACATTTCTGTTGATCTTGGTTCTTTCTAGTTTTAATAATAATAATGCATTGAACTTATATAGCGCTTTTCTAGACACCCAAAGACGCTTTCACACACTCTCACATTCACACACTGCTAGTGATGGTAAGCTACTTGTAGCCACAGCCGCCCTGGGGAGGTTTGACAGAGGCGAGGCTGCCATTTGGCACAGTCAGCCCCTCTGACCACCACTAACACAGGCAAGTTGGGTGAAGTGTCTTGCCCAAGGACACAACAGCAGGATACCCTTGGCGGGAGCTGGAATCGAACCCATGACCCTCCGATCATGAGGCAACCCGCTCTACCGCCTGAGCTACTGCTGCCCCATTTTCTAGCTTCAGCCTCAACAGCCTGCCTGACCCTAAGCCATGCTGTTGTGTTGCATTATGGGTAAAATGTCCAGCAGAGGAATAAAGAGACAACCAGGACCTGTTGGCAATTTTTAGGTTTACTATTAAAAGAAACAAATTTTCTCATGATATTTAAAAAAAAATCACCACATTTGTTTTTATTCTGTTTTGAGGCGAACTAGAACCTTCAGATCCTTTCCTGAGGAGGAGTGGCCCGGTCCAGCTGTGATCATGATGCCGATTCAACACAAATCAAAGCTTAAAACTCAAAACTAACAAAAGCTTCAGGATGAATCAGTTCCCATGACCTTAGCAGCGTGGAGGAGAAGCTCCACCCCAGATTAGAGAGAGACTAGATCTGAGCCATCATAATAGCTGATGACAGTCTGCAGGAGAAGCACCGAAACAGTCGCTGCATCTCAAAGGAACGGAAAGAAACGGGCTGGCTAGCAGGGCTTTGATCCCATCAACATCATTAGAATAGCTGTTACACTCTGATGTCATCAGTTACATCAGAACCAGGCTGCTGGGGGGGGGGGGGGGGGGGGGTTGTTACATGCTTTAGTTTCTACATGCCAGAGAGGATGCACCATCTAAAGTGAGTCTACATGACACGGTGTGACGGACTGGACCCTTTAGCAGAAGAGCCGGTCCCCAGGGGTCAGAGCTGCAGCTGGAGCAGGAAGTAAACAGAAGAGAAACGTGCTCATAAATACGACCTCCAGAGGAGAGGTGTGGGGTTTCTGTAGAGAGTCACATGTTTTTTGGCCCTTTAGGGCTTTGCTGCAGGATGAAGTGCCGTCTGGGGGGCGGCCTGGTGGTGGTGGTGATGATGGGGGGGTTCACAGGGGGACGTGGCTGAAGAGGTACGACACGGATTCACCGTTGTGGGTTCTCCTGATGGCCTCGGCCAGGATCATGGAGATGTCGATCACCTGATGAGTGAGAAACAGAAAAATCTGTTTATTTATGAATAAAAAGTTTAATTTTTTGTTTGGATCCCAGAAATAATCAGTTTGTTAATTAGTTTCATCATCGTAACGGTTACCCAGGCCATGGTTGCAGAGGAGATGTTCTCACATTCACCAGTAAAATAAGCATTAAAGGGGCAGTTCGGACATTTTTCAGGTCATTTGTTGTAGACAGCTCTTTGAACAGCCTCAGTTAGGAGAAACAGATTCACAGCTAGTCCTGGTGCACGTAATTCCTGCAGGACATTTTCCAGACTGCACCAGGTCTGCTACAGCTAGCTATCGCTGCTGTTTCCACTTTAGCATTTTTACAGCTGTGATATCAGACTTAACGTGTTCTCATCCCACCTTACAGGTGTCGAACAGAGAAACCACTCAAATGTGCTGGACACCAGGAACTGAGAACCCCTGCTCTGAGGTTGGGGGAGCTCAGAAGCACCTTATTCAGTCGGAGGACAAAGTTGTTCAGTCGACAGGATCTGGAGTCTTACTTCCTGGTATGTGGACATCTCTCCTCTGATTGGCTAACAGCAACACGACTCTACCACTGACTGTTTGCTCTGCAGCATTGATGTTTTATCTCCACAAATAACACACGCTTGGAGGAGTTCTGCTGTGTGGTAGAGTTGCTAATGCTAATAGTTAGCTTGTACTAGCTGAGACTTTCTCTGCCGTTTCCTGGATGCTAAACCAACAACAGCTTCCCTGCCGTGAGTCAGATGGGTGAGTCCATGAATGTTAGTGACGTAGATCTGTCAGGATTTTCTAATCCTAGAGTTTCACCGTCTGTTTCCTATCAGAAGCTACTGCAGGAGATCGGTGTAGGAGACTATCTTCATGTTCAGCCTGCATAAACACTCAAGAGTGACCCGTTAGAATCAGACTTAATCATGGACGGCCTTCTGAACAGCCTCAGCTTGGTGAAACATTGCAATTATGACCAGCTAGACGAACGAGTCGTGAATCACTTGTTAGAAATAGATCGTACCAGTTCATGTGAACTTTTTTATTCGGTTTTCAACCCTAAACCGAACTTATCTCTAGAGAACCATATCCGCAATAAACGACAGAACTGTACATAAACATCCAGCTTCGTTAATCATCAGCAGCAAAAAGCACGATCAAACATTTCAGAGGACTTTAGCCATTAGCTTATCAGTCTGGTCAGAACTGATCTTTTTTTCTGAACTGAGGCTGTTCAGACATTCATATTTCGTAACCTTTCCAACAAATAAACTGTAGAAAAAGACAGACAGTTGAGGTTACCTGTATCTTTGGACACGCCTTCATCTTTTCCTCCTGAGGGATGGTGTTGGTCACCACCACGGCCTCAAACGGGGCGCTGTTGATCCGGGAAATGGCCGGCCCCGAGAATATGCCATGTGTGAGGATGGCAAAGACCTTGGTAGCACCGGCGTCGATCAACCTGAGGGACAAATCGCAGCATGTGATTGCAGGAACACCTGCCTCACCTGTTCCCACTAAAACTAAACGGTGCTCACTTGTCTGCCGCGTAGCAGATGGTGCCGCAGGTGTCGGCCATGTCGTCCACCAGGATGGCAACACGGTCCTTCACGTCCCCGACCAGAACCATGCGATCCACCTCGTTGGCCTTCTTCCTCTCCTTATGGATGAGGGCAAAGTCCACGTTGAGACGGTCAGCGATGGACGTCACCCTGAAGCAGACGGGACAATCAGCTCCACCAGAGACTTTGTTTTTCCATCTTTTAACTTAACAAATCAGGTCCTCAAAAGTGGTAAACAAAGTAAAATATCTGGGGCACATTTTAAGAAGTGACCTCTGTGATGACGAGGATATTAAGAGGCAAGGCTAACACTCTGGCACGTAACTTTGGTATGTGCTCAGAACCTGTTAAAGTGTCCCGCGTTCGTTCCTTTTGAACTCCTCTCTATACAGCCCACTTGTGGTGCAACTAAGGTAGTAATGAAGAAGCTTCAAGTGGCTTATCAGGATGCTTTTAGAATCCTCATGAAGCTCCCTAGATGGACCCCTGCAAGTCATATGTTTGTTGTGAGTAATATCCCTACTTTTCATGCGCTTCTGAGGCTCTTCATGTATAAATTCATCTGCCGACTGAGTTTGTCAGCTAACGCGGTTGTTAGAGCTCTGTCATCTTTAACTTACAGTGACACGAGGTACTCCTCAGTCCTTTTTAAACATCGGAACAACTGCCTATATGGTTTGTAATTAGAATGTGTTTTTACTTTTATTTTATTCTTGTTATGGACATATCCCATGTCTGAAATAAAGTTTTGAATGAATGAATATTCCCGTTTATCCAGAGATCTCTGCCTCATACCGCTTAGCTCCTCCGGCATCCGGAGACACAATGATGCAGTTCTTCCACTCCGGGATGTTCTCCCTGACCCACTGGAGGACTGCCGGCTCTGCGTACAGGTTGTCCACCGCAATGTCAAAGAAGCCCTTCAGAGAGAAGAAGAGTTCAGCTGAACCAGTAGAAGCTGCTGGGAGCAGCATGTGGGGTAGAAACCCACGCACCCACCTGGATCTGCGAGGCGTGCAGGTCCATGGTGATGATGTGGTCCGCTCCGGCCACAGACAGCATGTTCGCCACCAGCTTGGCCGAGATGGGTGCACGACTCTGAAACAGGAGAGTCACAACCAAACGTTAGTCTGTAAGGAACCCAGACAAGACCCCAAACTAAAGAACTCACTACGGGTTCCATAATTACCATCATCATCATCATCATCATCACTACCATCATGTCACCATTATCATCATCACTATTGTCACCACCATCGTCACCATCACCATTACTATCGTCTAGGGCTGAAACATACGATTATTTGGATAATCAATGAATCGGATGGGGTCTCGAGATGATTAATCGATTAATCGGATTACATGGGGAAATTTTTTAAAACTGCTAGGGAAACGTTTTTTCTCTCCTTCCTTCACTTTATTAAAGACAACGTTATTAGAAAATAGTTCAATAGCAGAAAAACAACATGCTATCACCTAAAATGTCTTACAGCTGCTATTTGTGACGACTGCCGCTTGTTGAGGTGTGCATGATTTGCTTGACAATAATAAGCTGCTCAGTGTTTGTTGTTTTGCCCTGGAGATCATAAAGAATAAAGTCAGCCTATTATGACACAACATGAACTTTTAGCATAGCAAGTAAGAAAGTGTTGACTCCACCCAGCCACTTCCATGTGTACCATGCGGTTCGCCAGACAACACCACTTTCTGCCTCATTTTTCAAAAAATGAAAAACCAGAAATGAAGCCTTCAGAATACTTTGGAAGGGGATGAGCAAGGGAGGATAAGGTGTATAGACAGAGACCCTAAGCTACACTCATCTGTGATCTAAAATGCTTGGTCCAAGTTAAACAGCTTCAGGCAATTCTCATCTGTCTTGTTTGATCTCATCTGTAGACAATTAGAATTGGGGATGTCAAACGACTAATTATTAAATGTAATTACAGGGTATATACAGCAATCATTAAGTAAAATTTACTAATTTTTAATACTTTTTTTACTACCTTCAGAATTTTTTTAAACCATCACAACACTAAATTGCAAGTGTTAATCAGCGACCTATTTACACATATTTTAACATATATAACATACAAAAAGAATAGACTTAGAGACTCACTGATGTTGACAATGTATTGCACATATTTATTTTACTTAGAAAATAAAACAAACATAAAATGTGCAATGGAGAGAATGGACAGTTCAAGCACACTGGCATTCACTGCAAGTTGATGCATTCCAAACTGATATCTTCTATGAACTGTTTTATTTTCACAAATTGGAAACATGAACTGGTGAACTATTGTTTGCACTTGTGCTATAGGCCTAATATGAACTTTTGGGCAAAATATGCTATGGCAAGTGCCTTAATTCCACGGCTTTTTCTTCAATAGTTTTGTCCATTTTGACCAGTTCCTCTTTTTTCTCCTTGTGTCTCCTTCTAAGTGTGTTTGATTTGGTGATTAGCTGGGCCATTTTTGACCCAGCTTTCCCTTCTGCCTCCTCAGCTTATTTGTTGGCATCATTTTCAAGGATGGCACAGACTTCGTCCAGGACTTTGCGTTGCTGCTTGAGCTCCTGTAGTTCGTCCTCTGCGGCCTTCCTTTTCTGTGTTTGAGCATCACTCTCCCTCTTTTTACGCTCTTGCTCCAGGTAGAGCCTGTACTGGGACCTTGCTGAGGCCACAGAAGCCAGCAAGTCCTTGGTTAAAGGCACCTTGAGGACACCACAACAGCTAACATTGTCACAGATTAACCTCAATGCCTCCAAGGATTCACCTAGAAGGTTACAGGTTTCCACCTCCTTGTTGATGGAGAAGCCCCTCTCCACGGTATCTTGTCCACGTGAAAGAAGTAAAACGCTCTGGCAGAATCTCAACAGGTCCATGTAGGATGGGCTGAGGGTCAAGTGTAGAAACACATCCACACGTTGCTTGAAAGGCTGGAAAGAGCGGAACTGTTCACCTCTGCCCTCAAGAGACAGCAATGATGTAAACTGCTGAATGATGACATCAGCTACAACATAGATAAAGAAATAAAGTTACTTAATAGGTCATTTAAATGTAGTAGTCCCAGTTGGCCCATCAGATCATTTGGCAATACATACATCACAACATCATGTTATAACATCTAAGAAGAGCTAGGGATGTGTAAGGCTTCTTCTGAACTTTTTAATTTGATAAAGCATCGGCACTTCCTGACTGTTGAAAGAATGCAGAAAAACATCTTTCTAACGCACACTTCCCACACAACACTCTAATCAATCTGAATAACCTATGCACTTTGACTGTCCCTATACAATATATTCTTACCAGCTGGGATGCCACCTGCCAAATGTTTGCTCTGGAGGAATGTTTGCACTATTCCCTTCATCTGTCTGATGCACCAATCAGGATCTCTGTGCATTCTTGAAGGGTTTAAACATGCTGTCTGCCTGACCACTTGGAACTTCAGGGGGCTTTTCTCCTGTAGCTTCACAACAACCTTAACCAGGCCCTGCAAACATTCTCGTCTGAAGGTGAGCACAGAAAGCTCACCAACCTTGAATCCTGGTTTTCTCTTAAGTTCCTGAGAAGTGAGGAACATTAGTGAATGTTCACTGCGAATGCTTTGGAAAATAATATTTCTTTATCCCTATTTTCTTTTCATCTTCCTATTATTACTATTAATTTGAAAATCAGTTGTAGTAGCAGCCTAAACATAGTAGTAGCAGTAGTAGTACTACTAAATGACAGAAATTAATTTTACAACATACGGGGGGGCTGGTGCCTATCTCCAGCAGTCAACGGGCAATTAGGCGGGGTACACCCAAGACAGAGAGCCAGTCCATCGCAGGGCAGCACAGAGGCACACAGGACAAACAATCATGCACACACACACTCACACTTAAGGACAATTCGGACAGACCAATCAACCTAACAGTCATGTTTTTGGACTGTGGGAGGAAGCCGGAGTACCCGGAGAGAACCCACGCATGCACAGGGAGAACATGCAAACTCCATCCAGAAAGATCCCAGGCCGGGAAGCGAGCCCAGGACTTTCTTGCTACAAGGCAACAGCTCTAACCACTGCGCCACTGCACAGCCCCCAACTGATAGCAGTTGCCTCATATTCAACTGTGTGACACATTCCTGTGAATCGACACCAGGAGGAAATCTGTTTTAAGTTATCAGACACAGTAAAATAGATCTCAACACTCGCTGCATTATCTTGTGTGTCACATAAGCAAAGGCTGAGAGAAAGTAACAGAGTCCAATTTGGGATTAATTATTACTAGAATATGTTCAACATGACCAAAAGCATAATACTCATGGTGACTTGGCTCATGGCTCAACGTTGCCAGTCAGTATCATTATTAGTGTTTTTCCAGAACCGTAGCACCTGTATTAATTGTTGGGCTTTTTAATAATAATTAATCTGCCATATATCTTTTATACTTGCCTGATTTGTATGGTTGTTAATCTGGCCCATGTCAATACATTTTTAAAAAAAGCATCATTTGCTAAGATTTTGTTAAACATTTATTCTTTTTTCAGTCTTGCCCCATTACACAACTTGTTTAATGAAAAGACTAAAACTAGGGCTGGGACATAAGCAATAAATCAATTCAATGATAGATGAAAATGAACTAAAAAATGTTTTCTGCCTCAATATGTGGAGATTAAGAAATGTACATCTCTAATATTAATATTTATTATCATTATTGAAGTGCAGTTTTGGTTGTTGACACTGGATAGGCCATTGTGTTTTTTGTTTTGGAAAGACAGGCTCTATCCTGTTGTCTTTGGTGCAACATTTTCTAAAAGAGAGTGAGAGTCTTATTTTATTTTGTTTGTTTGTTTTATTTATTTCGAATTTTAATGCTATTACAACCCTGATATACTGCAAACACAATTGTCTTGTGCCTTGGAGCTATACCCCACAGGTAAATAAATGTTGGTGGGCCTACAGGTTTCATTCAAGTAACTGCTAGACTTTGGCAAATTTCATTATGTTGTGTAACCAACAGTAAATTAGCCAACATCATCCTATATAATATACAAAGTCTTTGTGAATAAATATCTCTTCAAATTAGTGACCACTGAATACTGCGTAAGTAGGGCTATATATAAAATAACTTACCTTTATATGATGCAACAAATCTTCGGCCTTTCCATGTCCCAAAAACTGAGATCCAAAGTATCTGGACTGGACACGGTCGTCCTCCCAATATCGAACATGAATGACAAGCTGTTTCTTCTTTCACGCCTGACTGAGGCTCTCATCGAACATCAACACGAATGGCCCAGCCTTGTTGATGCCATCAACAAGCTGTTTTTTGAAGAACGATGCTAATCCAAATCTGATGATGTACCCGGTTTTGTCTTTACCACACGTGAATGACTTTGAGATGTCAGAGTCGGGAAACATTTCTTTAAACAGCTCCGAAATCCCTTCATTGGAGTTCAATGAGTGGTGTTTAACAGCAGTGTTCAGACACCACAGAGCCTCCGCGCGCAGTGTTGGTGTGGCGCCCATGACCACCCGAAGGTCAGACGTTGCTGGAGCCATAGTGATGGCCGGTAGGCGTACCGTGGCACTACTTTGCGGTGGTGGTGCAGCCGTACGGACAGCTAAGAGTGGTAGAATTGGTCTCTCCGAGCACGTATTCCATTGTTATGTTTAGTGGACTGCATATGCGAGCGAAGTGCGTTAGCTCCCATCCAGTTGACATTGATGATTTTTTTTACACACCGAACAATAAGCCTGCCTGTTATTACCTACTACAGGTCTGAGCCAGTCCTTAAACGCTGGGTCGTCCACCCAGCTAGCAGAAAACTTGCATTTGCCCATGAAGACGATGATGGTTGTCCACTCATAGAAGATATGCCTTGAGGTAAATCTAAAATTAAGCGTAAACCAGCCACTTCTGTTCAGCGGTTCAGACAGTTGACCGCGCGGCCTGAAATGATGCCGAACGACCACCGAATATGACGTCATCATTATGTGACCGGATATGCTAAAGCCCCGCGAACTTAAGCATATAATAGAATTTCATTCAGAATATATTTCTATGGCGATGTTCAGAATACGACACCTGATAGTCTGAAAAAAATAATACCT